GTGGGCGCACAGCAGAACTAGGGGAAAAGGAAAAGCAATAAGGGTACCAGAGAAGCTCTTACACGGGAAAGGCAAGTAACTTTGAGCCAAAGCAGCTCTTACGCGGGAAAGGCATGTAACCTTGAGCCGTGCTGCTGTGAACTATGGGGAATAATCATACCAAGGAGCAGGAAAGGGTCCTTCAAGCTTTCCAACACGTTATTGATTAARCTGATAAAAAAGGGGACATCACTGAAGAACAATTGAAGAATCTTTTTGATTGGGGGGAGGGTGGAAAGATGTAATGCTCTGAGCACTGCCACAGTCTGTGATTTAGAAGTCTGGGACGGACTTGGGGTAGTGTTGTGGGATTGGGCCACCCGAGATGACCAGACAGCTAAACGCCTGCTGGGACCCTGGCGCACGGCTAACGAGGCATTAGGGGAGTATACCGGAAAAGGAGATAGGCCGGTGCCTTTGGCTCCCGCCGTGGCCTCTGTCCCCCTGCCGTATGCTGGTATGATGACTGAGGAGTTACCGTACTCAAGGAGACGGGACGGATTCACATCTGATCCACCGTGGGACAAAAGAGGGAAAGAAAGTTTAAAGGATTCTAAGGGAATATTTGTGTATGATCCAGATGAGGGAGAGGAATGAAAGGCATGAGATTATGTTGTGAATTTATAAAGGGAGGCGGAGAAGGCGGGAGAYAAGGAAGTACTTAAGGCTTTGTCAAGGCACCCAGTAATGCAGGACACAAAACGGATGCCCCAGACATGTACCGATAGAATAAGCATTCTTGAAAGACCTAAAAAAGGCAGTAGTGGATTATGGCTTATGGTCGCCTTATGTACAACAATTATTGAGAGGGATGGCTACAGATAATTGGTGAGTGCCTAGTGATTTTCGTTTGGCTTTTCGTCTAATCCTAACCCCAATGCAAATGTCTGTAGTAATGCAAGAGGCCAAAAAGCTTGCAAATACAAAGGTGTTGGATAGTGTTGGATAACCTGCATGACCCAGAATTGCATGGAGTTAATGCTGCTGCGTTGCTAGGAGAGGATGCATTTTCACAGCTTACCGGAGCYGTGCCAGTCTCACCATGCACAAAAACTTGGGGTGCTTCCACCTGCAGAGCTTCACCACCAGCAACGAGGGCATCTACCTGTGTCAACTGAAGGCCAGTAACAACTACACCATCAACCAGACAAAGAACATCACTGTCATCAAAGACAAAATGGAGAAATGCACCGACTGCAGCCTCTTGATCCAGAACACCTCATGGCCAAGCTTAGCATACAGCATAAATAAGGCTATAGTTGCAATAAAACAAAAAAGAGGGAGATGTCAGGGAAAGGGTTAAACTGAGMAGGGGTAGGAGGGAGAAAAAAGGAGGCATTGAGGGAAGGAGGAACAGGAAGSGGGAGGAGCCASSAGGCGGGCAAGATCGAGGAGCCRTAAAGCAAGACAGGCACAAGGCAAGAGGCAACAGGCCTTCTGGTGATTGGACTATTGTGAGTATGGGGCACGTTCCAGTCAGGTGTTAGGGATAAAAGGGAAGAGTTACAGCCTGAAAGCAGCTATTTGTTCCCCCCCACAAATGGTCCCCTGTGATTCCTTGGAACAACCGACACCACAAGGCCTCATTATCTTACTCACCTTGATAGGTGGCCTGTAATAAACACCACACTGTGGCTAACATCACGTTASTCTGCCTTCTAATCCTTACCCACAAGCTCTTAACTTGCTCATCACGCACCCCTAGACTGAGCTTCATGCATTGCAGATGTTGTCTCATATAAAAAGCAACTCCACTACCTCATCTTTCCAGCCTGTCCTTCCTAAAATGTACATTGCAATCCAAGACAGCACTCTGATCATTTGAACTATCCTACCATGCCACTGTAATTGCGATGAGATCATGACCAAGGGATCGCACGCAGATCTCCATGCTTCATGCATTTGTGTACAGGCATTTCAGGGAAGTAATAAAATATACTTTTAAGCATTGGTAATTTTAAGGGGTATAGGGAGACCACCATCGTAATACCTTGGAAATAAGARTGTTTCTTCTCTCTCTGCTGTGCATTTTATTCAGTGACTGTTTACTCCCATAAGGTCTAAGAAGTGGGAAGTTTTTGCACATACAAGCACCATAAGAAGTATAAAGGAAAACAGGCAACTTAATAAAATTATTATTCTTTTTATCTTTAAAAAGTTCTTCTTTGAGTCAAAGATATATGGAGACAAAAATCAATAGATAGGTAGCTGCTTAGGGGCCAGGAATCAGCCCTTTGTTAGGCACTGACCACTGCATAAAGAAGTATGCAAATTAGAAAAAACAAAGGGACAGTGGTGAAAAAAAAAAACAAAAACTTTTATGGAGCTGTAGCAATTGGGGAAACAGTACAGTAAGAGTCAAAGGATAATGCCTATTGACCAGACTGCAACAGTCTTTGCACTTGTGGTCTGAGAGAGTGTCTGCATGTGCTGCCTGTCCTTGGATAGGATCCGAAGTCTCCCCAGGCAGAAACATTTCAAAGCCAGCTAAAAGAGTGTGCATTCCTGGCTTTAAGCACAGTAGGAAATTTACTTAGCTTTTGTCAGCTAGAAGTCACTGTTCTGTACATCATGCACATTAAATTTGGCAGCCTTTATTCTCAAATGAGAACTGCAGTAGCAATAATTTTATATGGTTATTTTTAAATGCACATAATACAATTGTGAAATATGTTCTGTATAGCTTTTTAAATTCCTCCCACCAACTGATGTTACATTAATGGAGAATAACTATTTTTTTTCAGACTTGGCCAATAGGCATGCTCTTACTAGCACTAGCAAGGGAGAGTCCAGAGTGACTGCACATAAACCTTTTTGCTCATAGAAATGCCTTTCTAGTCCTCTTGCTTTCATGTCCTTTGTGGGCCCCCCTTTACTGCAGATATTTAGCAGGTTCTTATTATGCATAATAACATCACTGATTAAAAGGATGAGAAGTCATTTCACCACAGCTTACAGTAAYTTGGTGGATGCTTTTGCTTTTCCATTCGTGGAAGGAAGATGATCTCTGGATTGACATAAAAGTGAGGATATTGTGTTCTCAAGTTTAAAAAGATTTCAGATGATTTTAAATGACATAGATTGGAATTAGTATTTTTTTTTCTCCTTTGCCTTTTTATTATAGAACAGGACAAAGTGACAGTACAGATAAAGCTAACAAATACAAACTTCTTCCTTGGTTTCTCTCCATATATCTTTCAGGGTGACTTTCAGAACTCTCAGTAATAGCCTTCTTATACTAGTCACAGAAAAGACATATTTTACTGTAAATGCTTGATGTTCATCAGTTGTGCCCCTACAGACAGCTAGACACCAAAACTTGAGACGATTTTACAAAATCCATGTTAATGGTGAATGAATTTTATTATCCTCAGCTACACTAGAGGACTGAGTGGAGTCTTAAAATTGTCTCTCTGAAAGAGATATTTTGGAGAAGAAAATGTAGTTTAAGTCACCCTCAAATTAATAGCTTTTGCAACTTCCAAATGTAGCAGTTGTAGGCAAGGACCATACTGCCATAGGCACAAAACGCAAAAAAAAGTTAATAGGGGGCTTCATSGTGTAATTCTTCCTAATTCACTCTACACTATTTGGGCACAATGCGGGCTCTGTCTACTGACTTTGTCTTCTTTACTGTCAAAGAAGTTGGAGTTATTAGTGTCAGTTATTGTCAGTTATTGTGGTTGTCATCTAACTATCATAAGCATGTATAACATGCTTAACTTTTGTTTATCATCGGTCTAGCGAAAAGTTTGCAATTAAATATGATATGTCAAGAATGACTTAGTATAGCTGACACACTGAATTTTATATAAGGTCATTATAAAAGTGTAATGTACATTTGACAGATGATTTTTTTAATATGCACAGAGTGATATCATTAATATTTTCTAACTGATTGCCAATAGTAGCACAGGTAATGATGAGAAAAGAGAAAGTAGATATTTGTATCATATGTAAGCTATTTGAATCAAGTTAAATATTATCTCTGTTCCAGATCTATGATCTAAGAATCATCTAAGAATTTGAAGTGCAAGATCATCATATCCACTGAAGAAGGTAAATACACTGCAGAGGTTTTGAAATGATATCCTGCAGAATTCATGTTACGGGGACTGTGTAAGGAATTTGTTAATATCCCCTAAAGCATAAGTCAGAGAGGAACTGAAGGTCCAGGCCTGTGCTTATACAGTGCCACCGGGCATATGGACAGAGAGAGTAGATGACAGTCCCAAGGGTGGATTTTCATGGCCATGTATGTATGTAACATTATAAGAAAAAGCGGGTTGTCATTTCTGACAGCAAACTGAGTATTAGTGAACAGAATTTTTCCATCATACTTTCTGTGGAAATTTGTAGAATCTTGGAGTCCGTTGTTGTGAGCAGGGCTTTGCATTAATTCCTGTTGAATTTTAAAAGGCTGCTGATGCCCGCACTTCTTGTTTAGGTCATTTGAAATAGACTCTCCAAAGAGGTTGTGGAGTTTCCGTCGTTGGAGATGTTCAAAAGCCACCTGGATGGGAACCTGTGCCATGAGTACTAGGTGTCCCTGCTTGAGCAATGAGTTTGGACTAGATGAACTCTAGAGTTCATTCWCTATGAGTTCAACTCTATTCTAGAGAACCCTTTCTAGAATAGGGACCTCAGAGACCGCATAAGTGGAAGGTATCTAATAGCCTACCAAAGTAATTGATGCAAGTTCCCATTTGTTCTTAATTCTAAATTTAAAATATTTAATTGAAATTGRCTGTATTAACCTGACAAACAAAAGGAGGGATATTATGCAGCTATTATTATAACATAGAAATTTTGACAGGAAGTTTTGAAAAAGTGCTAGTGTTTATAAATTATATTTGAAGTAAAATGTCTTTGCATGTTCAGGAAGCCTGCTTTTAATAAATCATTGCTCAGCAGAAAGATTTTTTTGTGTGTGAAATGAGGGGATAACTGGTATAATTGTCATAAGACTGTCATTCTTCTTTCATTTCCAACCTCTTTTCCTTCCCCAAGCACCTTCTTCCCCACTTTGCAAAGGAAATACCTCTTAAAGAGAATAAAAAATAATAGACTTATTTCTTGATAGTGATACCAAGGGATTTGCCCATAATCTGTCATACATTATTGCTTTGGGGAAGAAAGTGAGTTCCTTGATTTTATAGGGCTAGCTCTACATTTCTTATTCTTTCAATTCTGTTATGTTTAAAGTCATGTTTATATGAAAGTACAGAACAGGATGCTAATTTGTGCATGTTTGCAAAATTTTTCTCAGCAAATTTCTACCCTGATAATCTGTAAATTTAATCAACTGCAAATCTATGTCTATAGATTCACTGCATAGACAGAAGCTCRAATTTTCTCACAACTGTCTTATGGAAAGTAAGATTAGAGAATAATTTCTTGTGCCAGTTGCAACTAAATGGTCATATGCTGAAAGKTAATTACCTTACCATATCCTAGTGAACTATTGCCTGCTGACTAAACTTAATGATATTTGAAGATAAAGTGAATTATTTCAGAACTGAAGTGAGGTAATTGAGCAAAGGTAGTCAGCTATTAGAGCTTAACTGGTGCATGATAATTCATTAAGCCATGGTAATTCAATTGATTTGGCTTATTCAATAATAAAATATAGGTAATACTCTATTATGCTTATGCAAATTAAAAACCCATAGGTTTTTCTTTATGATTCTACCAGTATATACACTTCAGTATTGTTTCTGTGATTGTGAATACCAACATTTCTTTGCTTTTTAAGATACATAGAAACAAGCTAAATTTTGGCACTAAGGATAAATTACTAGGAACTAGATATGAATCAGAGAAAATGTGTTTGATTTTGGTGGAACATGTCCAGATTTATAGCTGTATAATATTCTTGTGGACATCAGTAGAAATATTGCCAGTAACTGCTATAAACCCACTAATCCTCTCAGGGTTATAATGTAATACACCTTAGGATATGTGCCTACCAACACTGTGTTTCACTAGCAGTGAAGTGAGCTGAACATTTCCAGTATTGTATCTCTCAATTATCTTTCTCCTTTGAGAAATAATAACTGATCTGGAAAAATAAATATCAGTATATATTTACAACTAATAGCAGCAAATGGAATTCAGTGTTCCCTGTGGTACATTTAGTGCTCTATTAATATAATTTCTCAGGAGGAAGGAAGTGAGGAACAACTATTATTTCTGTAATGCTTAAAAAAAATCTTCATAAGAAAACTTTCAGAGCTGGAAAAATGAGAAATATAGTATAAATCCTTGAATAAAATCTCACAGGCACAATGCATTTTTATGTTTTTGCAGTTTTTTAACTTGGAGAACAAAGCATCAGGGTTATAAGCAAAATATCTCAATGACCTTAATTTCTTTTCTCGTAGAATCATTGCCCAAGATCAGGGGCATCCTACATTATTAAATTGCATATTTAATTAATTATCAATACTTTCCCAGTTCCAATAGGACAATAGCTTTCTGCTGCAAAGTGTACGTAGTGTATATATAACACCTCTACAAAAAAAAAAAWTTTTTTTTTGGTCTCAAACTTCCAGTATAAGTATATAAGTACAGTTCAAAAAGTGGAGAGTTATGCCTTTTCTTTAGATAGTTGTTAGAGGGTACTCCAGGAGAGAGCAAGACAAAGAGCTAAAGTGCTGACAGATGAAGTCCTACAAAACAATCAATAGTTATACTTCACAGAATCACAGAATCACAGAATGCCGAAGGTTGGAAGGGACCTCAGAGGTCATTGAGTCCAACCCCCCTGCACACGCAGGGTCTCCTAGAGCACGTGGCACAGGGCTGCATCCAAGCGGGTTTTAAAGATCTCCAAAGAAGGAGACTCCACAACCTCTCTGGGCARCCTGTTCCAGTGCTTTGTCACCCTCACAGTGAAGAAATGCTTCCTTAAGTTCCTGTGGAACTTCCGATGCTTCAGTTTGTGGCCGTTTCCTCTAGTCCTATCCGTGGCCACCACTGAAAAGAGGCCAGCCCCCTCCTCCTCACTGCCTCCCTTGAGGTATTTATAGACACTGATCAGGTCCCCCTCAGCCTTCTCTTCTCCAGGCTGAACAGACCCAGCTCTCTCAGCCTTTGCTCATATGGCAGATGTTCCAGGCCTCTGATCATCCTGGTAGCCCTGCRCTGGACTCTCTCCAGCAGCTCCACATCTGTCTTGTACTGGGGAGCCCAGAACTGGACACAGTACTCCAGATGTGGCCTTAAATCTTTTCACTTAAATCTTTTCATTTATTCTCTTTTAGCATAATGCATTAGTTTATGCTTATCTCATTTTATATTTATCTCTCATTTTACAGAGGTATCTCAGTTTATGGAATTCCAAGGACTATTCCTTCTAAATTCCATTTCAGAGTAATGCATGTCTGCAATATAATTTGCTGAAACAGCAATCATTAGTAYAGTTCCTGCAAATTTTTTTGACATCTCCTCTAAAATGCTCTAACAGTACAGTGATGCTGCTACTCAAAACCAAAGGATCAATGTGTGTATGATATTTTGCCTACTAGTTGCAGACATTGAACAAAGAACAAAGAAAGGAAGCATCTGATGTATTGATAATGATGTCAGATGTTGTGGCAGCAGTGGTATATTACACTGAATGATGTCACTTATGGGCCTAGTCTTGAAAATGTTAGTTGTTCATAACTACCCTTATCTTTTCTGTGAATTTTGCCTCACTAAGTATTACAAGTTAATGTACTGCATAAACTTTTACATTTATAAACCAGGAAGAAGAAGAAACTCTGGAAGAGTAAAGCAAACACTCAACAGATTTTAGGGTGTTAATAGTGAATAATGTTCTACAACTAAAAGTGAAAGACAGGTTTTGTTTTACTCTCCTTTTTGCTATTTATTAATACTAAATATGCTAAGTGAACATAACTTTCAAATTATATATTTTTTGCAACTTTGAGGTTTTTATTTAGATAGAAATAAAATCTAAGTATTAAAATGTGTGGCAAAGATCTTTTTTGTAGTTAGATGAAACATCTTATAAGCTAAATATGTAGATTAGCCTTATAGTGTATTATGGTATCAACAGATTGCTGCAGTTAATACCAAATTATTTTCATTATATATCTTCACAAATGTCCTTACATTACAGACTACTATTTTCTCTTTTTTTTTCTTGATTACATTAATGTGATAGAATTGGATGTTTTCAATCCTGCTGAGATTCAAGCATGTTCCAGATTAGTTTGGTACACATCCAAAGATTTTAATAATTAATGCTGGCAACCGGAAAATACCAATATGACACTTCTTCAGTGAGCAGGTCTCAGACTTGCTCAGGAAACTAAGCCAAGGCTTTCCTTGCTTTCTGATGGGTATTTTGGACAAAAGGTGTTGTGATCAGAGATAACAAAAACTAGCAAGCTGGTGCTGTAGTTTTGATCTAAAACCTAATCTGAGAACATTCCTTGTTTTCAGCCCACAACACCCTCTTTACGCTAAAAACTACAACATTAAAATTACCTACAAGACAGATCGTGCTAAGGTGAAACAAATACAATTACTAGCTTACAAGAATTCAGCTTGAAAATGCATTGCAATTTTTAAGAAGTTAAAGGTAATAGACTAGAAATCAAACTACGTGTAATTTACTTAGAATATCTGCAAACCTTCCTTTCCATATTATGCCTTAAACAGTAGCTTTTTAGCTGAACAAGCAGTTCAGCGCCCTAATCCTAGATCTAAATGACATTCTGAGGTTAAATGTACTAAGACAGTATGASAATTCAGTGTCTGGAAGGACTTTAAAATATGCTGGATTTAGAGAAGTTTGCTTCCAAATATCTCCAGTTTCCTCCAGGTCACTGACTATAGATCTACTTCACCTAGGAGAGTCTGACAGAAGGTTAACTGGACATTTTTATCCTGTATCCATAAGCATATTCTCCAAAGGGCATCTTAGCATGACATTAAAATTTCCTGTCAGGAGCATAAATGTCCAGAGCCTCTTATCTTATCTGCCTATGTCATAGTCTCAGAATGTGAAGTGCAGACAACTATATAAGTTTGTTACAATTTTAGAACAGTTCAGGTCCCAGCAGACATTCCTTTAGGATTGCTGCCGGCATATACCAGAGGTGAAATATAGAGAAACTGGCAGCAGGATATTAAATGAAAGGGTTAGCATTCAGACAAGCGCACTTACCCAGTAGAACAAATAGGGCTATGGAAAAGGGACCAGGAACTACAAATTCAGCAGTTTGAGGCTCTTCTTTAGGGATCCAAGACTGGCGATGGCAAAATCTATCTAGGACGGATATCAAAAAAGCATACAGGGGTGACTGAGACATTTGAGTAGTTGTTCATTAATTATGATATTCTCTATTTCTCTGTTTACAGAGGCTGTATTTCTGTTGTGAATTCAGCCTCATTACTCCTGCTTGCAGAAATCAAATAGACATACTAATGGTATTACCAATCTCCGTTATCCTTTTATCCTTTTTTTATCCTGCAAATACTGCTGTAGTTTTTTAAGATGACATTGCATGTTATAGCTGGGTCAGTCAAACAGCCTATTACCTTCAGAGAAAAAGTCCTCTGTGCCTTCCTTCCCTCTTTTGTTTCTATGACCCTTTATATCTTAAGCCTACCATAAAACTGAAAACTTTTTGTGGTGTGATTTTTCAGTCAGTTTAGCAACTTGTATCAGCTCAATGAAACGATCAGGTGAATAGAACAACTGGTGTTAGGAGGAGGACAGGCAAAAGGAGTAAGAGGAGACAAAAGGGAAATGGATCATCTTTCAACAACACCTCTGCTAAAGTTAGGAAGTATTCCAGTTTATGGAGATTACTCTAATTATAAAGATACATCTGTTCTATTTTCTGCATGACTACAGTCTTGTTCATATTTTTTCTCCAAGCCTGATCCTTCCCAAAAATATTTTATTTTTTTGATATTCCCTTTTTTGAAAGTTAGTGCATACATGATGTTTGTTCCTAAAAAATAAAAAAAAATATTTAAAAGAAAGGTCTAGTGAACAGTATGTTGACTCATCAGAAAAAAAATGAAGTATTCTATCTCTGACAGAATTCCCTCTATTGGGAAAAAAAATACATCTTTAATCTGACCCAATTAAAAATGTTCTTAACTTTTGTTCTATGTTAAAACAATCAGTTTGCGGTCACAGAAATTAGTTAATATGATGAGCAGCTTCCAAAACTGTAGGTCTCCTGGGTTAAAATGTAATCTTAAAACATGCAATATGATAAGGTCTGTAATTTTTACTGAATTTGGGAGAATCTGGAGACATTCTAAATTTGTTAAAGATGTTTTGCTTTCAGGATAGTTCAGTTTTGTAATATGTGCAACATTTGTGTCTCAGGAAGCTGCATGCTTTGCTTAAACTAGTGTTTCTTGAAGGAATCTTAGTCAACCATATGTAAGAACCTATTTAGGCAAAGTAAATGAAACATACAAATTTTATCACCAGGCCACATCCTATGATTAGTTCCAGTTGAATATTATTTATGGAACTGATAACTTCAAGTGGAGAATTTTTTTTCCCCTGTTTACAACAGTGGAAGTGAAAAGAGAACTAGTATGTTATGCTGTTCTGCGTATGAATCCTGTTGATTTCTGTGCACTGCGATTTGGATTAGTTTCACTTCTGGAAACTTCACCTCCCCTGTGAGGGATTTCTTGTCATTTTTCACACACATGCAACATTGCAAGACAACTATCCTCTTTCACTGACTGTGCGAAAACATTTGATGCTTCCCCAAAAAGGAAGGTGGAATTAATAACCACTGTACCAGTCTTTGCTGTGACTGTCATACATAGTGTGGTCCTATTTACAAACCATCTATACCCAAGAACAGAGAGTTAAAGAGATCTGCTGCCTCTGTTCTTTCTTGTCCAGATGGATCTTTTGCCAGCAGTGGTTCACTGCCCTGAGCAATAACATGAAAAGGCAGCTTAATGCAAGGCCTTGTACTTGTCTGAAGGTTAATACTGCTCATAGCTCACAGTTGATTAGATTAGTCGTGGCTTGGGTGAGAATTTCCACACACACACACACAAAAGAAAACCCTAGTTTTTTAACATCTTAACATTTTAAAAGTATATTGCCATTTTTCTTTATTTTTCATCCTTTTTTTTTTTTAAATTACACTTCCTCTTCCCAAGCTAAGAATTTAGCCAATATAAAGTTTCATTTTCAGACGAATGTTCCAGGAAATTGAACAACTCATACAAACTCTTGTGCAGGCCTTTAATATTTATATGCTTTGTTTTATCCCTTATCAAGTTAGAAATGGATGAAAGATCCCATCTGTGTGGTTTTGAAGGTTTCTACACTTCAAATATATTAGATAACATTCAGGCGGACAGATGGGCAGATAATTTTCCCTTCTTATACAGTCATGACCACAATGCACAGAATGTTATGGAATAAAGATGTTCACATTCCTCTTGTTGTCCCTTGCATACCAGGCAGGGTGGCCAAACAGAAAAGGACCAGCTGTTTCCCTGGCTCTCTGGTCTGGTTCTTGCTTTTGAAAGCCCTGTGCTTTTGCAGTTTGATATTTAGGTCTTTATGTATGTCAGATATCTCCAAACACAGGTGGATAACAGGAAAATCAAAAGGGTAGTTGAAATAATAGATTATACAGAAATACTAAATAACAAATATAAAGAACCTATATATAAATTAGTTCTGTAAGGCTAGAAAACTAGAAAAAAATATATATACTACATTTCTCTAATCTCTGTTAGTTACTGAATATCTCACTCGTTGGATGAATAATTAGAATCTGTAGAATTAGAATCTACTTTTCAACTTACAGGCTTTTGCTGAAACGAAGTGAAATATATTTCCACACTTGAAGAGTGAATGTATGACTGCTGAAAGAAGAAGCAAGGTCTTTAAATATTATTTTGGCAAGGTGCATGTGAATGGATTTATATACACAGWTTCTGAGTATGTTTCGATTTATAAATCATCTCTGGATTATCATCGACTCAGCACTGAATGGAACAAGTCATCTAGTGTAAAAGGTTAGAAGAAAGGCAGAAGGACTTGTACTTTCTTTTACTAACCTTTCCAGGTCTTGGGCTTTCCAGGGTTTGGTGCATGGTGCCAAAGCTTAGGAGAGAGGGATACTCTTCAACATAGAGGAGACTAAGTCGGATACAAGTTTACAAGTCATTTACAAGTTCATGGGATGAGACTGGAAGTATTTGGCAGTGTTGATGGAACCCCCAGTGCCAAAGTGAGACCAGTTATACTTGAAAGCTCCTGGTGATCAAGAGAGGTCCCTGAGCACTAGAACACAAACTCTCACAGTCTCTTGATAACCAGACTGGAGAAGTATAGAATGGACAGATGGTCTACAAGGAAAGTGGAAAAAATGATTGCAGTCATAGGTTAGCAGTGATGGGACAAATAGTCCCATCAAGCCCATGGCCAATTGATGGGGGGCCCACTGATGGTTCCATGGCCCATTGCCAATGGGACAAATGATCAAATAGAAATCACCCTTGGCAAACTCACGAATGACATCAGGTTATGCAAATTGAGTTACCTCAGCAAGGGCATAGTCAATGACTGAGATAAGCAGCTACTGCTCCATATAAACAGTCACAAAGCTGCATCTGACATTTTGTGTCCAGTTGTAGGGCTCCCCACTGAAAAAGAAGTATCAACAGATGATTGTGGAGAACAAAAATGATATCTACAAATGAGAGTGGAGGCCCGTAAGATACGTTTAACCGTCTGGAACATTTGACGTGAGAGACTGAGTGAACTGAGATCTTAGYCTAGAGAAGAGAATTATCAAATGCAGAGGAAGCTTTTTCACTTTCAGAAGTTTCTGAGCAGCAAAGAGTTGACTGACATCTTAGGAAGTATTTTGGGGAAATACACCTGCTTGTGCTGTTCTTACACTCTTCCACTGGGCATTTAATCTGTGCTGCTTTAAAAGACAGGTCACTCAGCTGGGAGGATACTTGATCTAACTCTATCAGATTCTTGTATTCTTAATGATTTCTACTTCAGACTAGCCTTTTTTGGTTCTATTTGTTTTCACTTCTTGGATTCTGGCAGTGATACAATAATTCTGAGCTGTAATCACAATTTTACCCTTAATGTAATACCCTTAATTATCTTTGGTAGTGCAATCTTTTGCTTTAATTATACAGCATATACAGCATATACAGCATACAGATAGCTTTTCCATTATATGTAGTTATATCTGAATTCTTTTTAAAAGATTAAAAAGCTTTGATATTTGATAGTAATGAACTTATACTGCCATTCAGACCTGAGGTTGCATTTTTCAGTTAAAACTATACTAAAAACACAGACAGCTTTTGTTTCTTTCAAAATTCACCTTCAGACAAGAATTTATTGAATTCTAAATAGTTCCACTAACACAAGAAGCAAACTAGAAATCCCGCAGAAATGTGTAATCACATTTTTCTTTTTACTTTGAGCACTTCCAAAGGTCTCCTATGTACAGCAAGTAGATTAATAGGTTAATATAATGAACAAATTATTTAAAAAAAAAAAGAAGCTTTTAACAGAAAGAAAGACACAATAACCTAGACAAATCGTCTGTAATGATATGACAGACTTACAGGAAGGGCTGAAGATGCCAGTTAAACTGCCGAGTTTGCCACTGAATCAGATGCTGCTGCTGGGAAATTATCTTCCTCAGCTGGTGTCTGGGTAGTGTTTGCTATCCAAAAGGTAAAATGATTTAGGATTATAATGCATTGGGGTAAATAGCACAATTCCACCACTTTAGTCATCTTTATTAAGTGCCTTTGAAAATTTGGTGTTTTGAATTTCATATTTCAATCATGACTGAAATATTTTGTCTAAATAATTTAATGTTATGTATGATAGATAGTGGAAGCGCATACCAAAACTATTTTCTATTTTATCCATAAAAAGAATTATACTATCCCTTTATGCTCTACAAATCATAGAATGCTTTTTCAGAGTGGATGAGAATAACGGTAATTTTCTCCCTTAAGTCTGAAGACTGAACAAAGACAAAGGTTAAGCTGGCATAAATGACATTGAGCTTCAGAGCATTTTTTCACCTAGCGGGAAAAGCAGAGTGTCCAAGCTCCTGGGTTTGACTCTGTGTAAAATCATCAGACTTCACCTTCAATCTTTCCTTCCACTGGAAGACTGACTCTCTACACAGCACAAGTAATGATCCAGGTATTGTTCTCCTACTGACTATTTTGACACGTGTGCAGCTCCTTCGATTTCTCCACAATTACCCCAGCACTAAGAAAATAAAAAGGCCAAAAATATGATTTAATGATTTAAAAATTTGCCAAAAGATTTGTTTTGTGGGAATCTCAGACTGATTAATTTAATTTGACAATTCATGTCCTTTCATTGTTAAGAAATCCTGGGATGAATTGCTGTGTTTAGGTATGAAATCAAACAAACAAAACAAGSAATAGGCAGGGAGTAAAATAACTAGCTTTACTGCTAGTTACATGTGAYGAGTGAGCACACAGTATGCATAATCAGCTTTTATAAATGTTAATGTTATACAGCTAAATATTTTAGAGAAATTAACTGTATAACGGAACAGTCCATGTCTTTCTTTTTACTTCTCTCTCCCCCTTTCCTCTGAAAAAAAAAAAAAAAAAATTCATTGCCAAAACTTCAGCCTAATTGCATTTCTTCCACGCAGCCCGTTTGTTAAGTATAGAAGTAGAATGCAGTATAGTATGGTAGAATGCAGTAAAGTATAGAATGCAGCAGGAGTTATGGCAACTTGAGTCACACTGGAATCACCCTTTACTTAAACAGACTCCCTGCAGTTTTAGGGATTTTCTGCTCTTGAAGAATGACTGCAGGAGGGAATGAAACCCGTTAGCACAGAAGGACAAAGCCTAAATTCATGCCATTTAATATCACAAAATATTTTCTTTCCGTTTTAAAAGCATATATGTGTAGAGCGTTACTAGCTGAGGAATTCAGCAATCAGATCTATGTTTTTATAGTGGTAGTCTAATAAGACTCATACCTTTCAAAATAATACATAGCTGGTGAGAAGTACTATTACACTGTGACTGGACCATGAGCTGAAGCAGATGAACACAACTCTATGGAAGTCATTGGAATCACATCATTTAACACCAGATTAGAATATATATATATCCTATATATCCAGCCTGATCACCATCCATGATTATATTGGGATTTGAATCTCATTTTTAAAGTCCTAGAAAATTCTGTTTGGCTTAGTGAGAACTTAATAGACCAAATAGTACCATCAAATTTTAATCAGAATTTGGCTCCAGTGGAGAGTTCTACTTAAAAGCTAGTGTCATGATATGTTCTAATATTATTCAAAAGGATTTGCTCAGTACGACATGAAACCCCTCTGCAGAACTTCCTACATTTTTTAAGGTGTTGTAAATAGTGTTTTAATATAGTGCTTTTCTTAGAGGGAACCTCAAATTCCTTTGTAAGCATAGGATTTGTACTGCAATCTCATGAAAACAAACAGGAAATACCATCCAATTAATGCTTTTTAGGAAGTTAAAGCTGTCATTTACTAATTTATGACTTTTGCTCTTCAGCTTATATCTGCATGTTCTCCCACAGCTAAATGGCAATAGGTGGGGAAAAAAAAAAGGATAAAAATAATAATTTTGATCAGGAGAAAAGGATTTTTTCCTTCACAAAGGTTAAAACATATTTACCCCTATCCATTCCACCCATTATTCCAGTTTCTAAAAAAAACCCACAAAACATCTTGTGCTTTACTGTGTTTAGCAATTTCTGTTAAACAGCTGTTCATAAGCAAGAACTGTGTTCTTTTGCATGTCATAAATCTTGTGTACACCTACTACAATAGGAAAATAGTTATATTTTTTAAATGATCACAAATACTGACAATGTCCGCATTACCTGTTACAATTGTTTCAGATAAATTAAATTACTATATATAGATGCTAAGTTATTTCAAGGATTAAACAGGTGAATCTCAGTTCAGGCATCTGTATTCTAATAAACTTACACTTCTTTCATTCAACTTGTGTATTTCCTGTGTAATGAAGGCAGTACAGTACTGAGAGGACAGTTTGTGCATATAGTGACTTGGAAAGGAATATATCAGCTTTATTTAGTGACAGATAAAATATGACTACACTGAGAATTTCCCAGCTCATAAGGACTCTACAAAGAAAAATATCACCTGTTTGTAGGCCAGTCCCATTAGAACATAGGGTTGTGGTAGCAAAAGCCACAGTTGAGATTTACAGATTGCTAGGTCCAGATGTAATGGGAAGCAGAAAACGATTTAGCCAAAAAAGTAATTTAAGAATAAAAAGCAATCATCCACCCAGTATTTCTAGAAATATAATTCCACTGGTTTCCGTCACTAATCTCTTTCTTGCTACTAGAATCTGCTAAAAAATTCTTTTTTAGAAAACTACTCTTTAACTCAGGTTAATGTTTACATTATTCTAAATGAAATATAAATCATATTCATTAAAATTAATAATGACAAATGCCCTTGTTTGCATGAAATGGAAGCACATAATCAGAGAGAATTAAAGTCATATGAATTAATTAGTTCACAAAATCGGGAGATGGTGGGGATGCCAAACAGATGCAAGTAAATAAATGGTTGAATGAATAGTACATTATCAATTTCTATGGAGGCTGTTCAGCAGTAAACACAACTGTCTCTTTCAGTTCCACAGGGAATAACAGAAAAGTTAAGCCAAGTAAAAAATTAATGTGTTGCTTTTTTTAAGAGAAAACAAATATGCAACTGAACCCCACAGAGTGGCTGATAAGTCCAAGTCAAACACAGATKTAACCTGAGAAAATAAATGAAAATGAGTAAATTATCTGCAACCAGATAAGCTAGTGAAAATTCCAAAATTTAAGGGATTTTATTTGTGAAATATTTTTTCTACAAGATTAGCTCACCAAAGAAAAAAAAATGAAGAAAAAAAAGTTGTTCAAACTTTGAAATGCCTGCCATGTGAATTCCAAAGTATTTCTTGTTCACTGATGAGCTGACTTTGTAACTAATGAACTTGGTGGGAATCGAATAATTGTAATCAAAATATATCTTTCCAAGCTTTCTTCCTGCAAATTCATGGCACAAGGGCTTAAAATCCTCATAAAAACTCATTCAATATGTAATTTGTCATCAATGACAATAYTTTTTTTCAAGTGGATAACCTGATTGTAGCTTTATTTTATGCTTCTTTTCTCCACTTGTTACAGATCATCAAAAATTTCCTCACATGCAGAATTGTTTATTGTTGAGAGCTCACCACTTCCACAATCTACTGCATTACAGATAATCCTTGCTCCTGCAATAATGGAAACCATAACAATTCCCGCAATACATCTAATTGCCAAAAGCACTTGAGGAAAACTGTATTTATGACCACATTTATTTATTTATTTATTTATTTATTTACTTATTTATTTATATATTTAGCTTATTTATTTGTTCATTTATTGTTATGTGGCTGATGCACAACTGAAAATAGGGCAGCACTGAGCGAGGTATTGTAGAAATAAAGAGTCATGGTATGGACAGAGATTTCTGGCCACCTTTCTATCAAATTTCTAATCAAATGCCGTGCCCGGCAAAGAGAGCAAGCTGGCTGTTCTCTCTACTCATTAAACTGCCTAGCCTGCCTTCCTGAACAGATTAGTAGATGATTCTTGATTCCATAAGCTTGTGTTATGATAAAAGAGAAAAAGAGAAAAAGAAAAGAAAGAAAGAAAGAAAGAAAGAAAGAAAGAAAGAAAGAAAGAAAGAAAGAAAGAAAGAAAGAAAGAAAGAAAGAAAGAAAGAAAGAAAGAAAAAAGAAAGAAAGAAAGAGAGAAAGAAGAAAGGAAGAGAGAAAGAAGAAAGAGAAAAAAAAGAGAGAAAGAGAGAAAGAGAAAGAGAGAAAGAGAGAGAGAAAGAAAGAGAGAAAGAGAGAAAGAGAAAGAGAGAAAGAGAGAAAGAGAAAGAGAGAAAGAGAGAAAGAGAGAAAGAAAGAAAGAGAGAAAGAAAGAAAGAAAGAGAGAAAGAAAGAAAGAGAGAAAGAGAGAAAGAAGAGACTGTCAAAAAAAAATACACCAGGAGAAGGAGGGAAAGATAACACACCAGGAGTGGAAAGGAAGGAGGAAAGCAGTATCAATTAGTAATTGCTAATTAGTTTGGAAGGTATTTAGAAAGGGAMGAAAGGGGGAGACACTATCTGGAATTTCATAGCAGTTGTACTGAAGGGTACAGGAACAAGAGGTACTGCACAGGTCCCTGCAACTGCAAGGTATGATACTGTCTGTCTTGCACAGCTCTGAGTCCTGGGAAGCTTTCGGATCTTGGTCGCACTTCATAGAATCATAGAATGCTTAAGCTTGGAAGGGACCTCAGAGGTCATCTAGTCCAACCCCCCTGCACAYGCAGGGTCACCTAGAGCATGTGGCACAGGGCTGCGTCCAAGCGGGTTTTAAAGATCTCCAGAGAAGGAGCCTCCACCACCTCTCTGGGCAGCCTGTTCCAGTGCTCYGTCACCCTCACTGTCAAGAAATGTTTYCTTAAGTTCCTCTGGAACTTTTGGTACCTCAGTTTGTGGCCGTTTCCTCTAGTCCTGTTGCTGTCCACCACTGAAAAGAGGAAGGCCCCCTCCTCCTCACTGCCTCCCTTGAGGTATTTATASACACTGATCAGATCCCCCATCAGCCTTCTCTTCTTCAGGCTGAACAGGCCCAGCTCTCTCAGTCTTTCCTCATAGGGCAGATGTTCCAGGCCCCTCATCGTCTTTGTAGCCCTGCGCTGGACTCTCTCCAGCAGCTCCACATCTGTCTTGTACTGGGGAGCCCAGAACTGGACACAGTCTCCAGATGTGACCTCACCAGGGCTGAGTAGAGGAGGACAATCACTTCTCTCAACCTGCTGGAGATGCTCTTCTTAATGCACCCCAGGATCTCATTGGCCTTCTTGGCCACCAGGGCACACTGCTGCCTCATGGTCAGCTTGTCATCCACCACACACCGAGGTGAGGTCCCTCTGCGCGGGGCTGCTCTCCAGCAGGTCAAGCCCTAATCTGTACTGGTGTGCGGAGTTATTTCTCCCCCCCTCTCCATTTCACCCCTTCACTTCATTATAGTAGGTATTGATTTAAATCGACTCTAACGTGCCTCCAGTACATAGAACTTCTCTGAAATACATGAAGTTAGGAGAGTTGTGTGATTATACTGTATAAATCCAAGGGTTTACATTTAAATTTTGTGTTAATCATGTAAGAAAAGCCCTGCCAAAAGAAACCAGTCATCCAAGTATTTTGTCTCTGGTTATGGCAGAAGGAGATGCTATTTAGGGAGACTGTGAGTATAGGAACTATCTAGTCTATTCCCCTCTACTAGTGTCCCCAAAGGCCCCTTAGCTCTTGTATTGTGAAGTTTGCTCTGCAGTTGTTCTGCAGTCTACTCATCCATGGCCATAAGCCTCACGACTCCCATTTTCTCCTCTACTGACTGAAGGGTCCTAGATTTTTTAATCTCTCTTTACAAAGCTGTTGATTTAACCTTCAAAATATCTCTATCTCTTCTTTAACTTCACTACATATTCCTTTCCAAATAATTGTTTTCCAAATAACATCAGGTACAAATTAATTCTGGATGTAGTTGCAGGACCGTACCCATGTTCAAGGCTTGGTTCTTCATATAAAAATGAACGATTGTCAACTACATGGTTGCTTATTTCCCAGGCTGTGAATTATTGTGTCCAAAAAGGATCACATCCTTTACATTAATGTTGCAGTTGAATTGCTTTTGATGTTAGGGATGACCAAGTTATCAATACAAAATGTGAATTTACATAGCAAATTATAACACGTGAAAGTAGATCAAATTATTAACAAAATTCAGTGAAGACCTTAAAACTCTCTGCAAGATTATTGCACAGATTTAAAGATTTCTTCTGTAAACAGTCATGTTCATGAATTCATTTATGTGAATTTATTTATTTACCCCTAGCATGAAAAGAAATATAGATCTCTAAGATCTATTTCTTAGATACTTATCTTCTTTTTAATACTTGGGGGAAAAAATGGCAAGATCCTCAATACTTTAAATCACCATTTAGTTGTCTTTATTTCTTTAATTTAGCTATTTTTCTGTTAAGAAATTAACAGGATTAAATATATAGACTTCTTTTTTAAAATCATTGCCTAGAAAATGAATAATTCTCATRAATAAAATCCCATTGTAATTTAATGTGAAATGTGAAATGTTAGTGTAAAAAAGCTATGGAAACTGAAGATATAAAAAACTCTTCCATGAGCTATTTCTTCCAAAATGATATTTATAAGACTGGGATTTATTAATGAATTCTGCTTACTTATCTTAAATACTTTGACTTGGTACAACTCTATGGATTTCTAAAGCAGAGTGATGAGTCACACTGTTAGCTACAAATTGAATTTCACTTATCTAAAGCACATGCTTACTACTTAGATGTAAATCACAAAGGAAATCTCTACATTGTAACTATAAGACTATTTTTATTTGATTCCCAGTTCAGGTTATTATCGGCAAATATAAGAAAATATATGTACACATTTATTTTTCATTTTGGCGAGTAAAAACATATAATTGTGATCAATACCGGCCTGATAGTGTCAATACAGAATATCTAAGAGGAGAGTGTATGCTAAGATGAGAACTGTTTGTTACTAAAATAAAAAAGCAAGTAATTTTTTGGTAGTCCTGACAAGCAAGTGAAATAGCCCCAGAGGAGGAATAAATATTACAATAATGTAATAATTTACATGAGAAAAATATCATAGAAAATATATTGTATTTACTTAATGCTGTCACCCTAGGCCTGAAAATGTAAAAGGACTTAATGTGTTATCCAATTATAATGCAGTACTACATTCAAAAGGCTGATCATTTAAGACAGACTTTAAAAGACAGCTACATTAAGCTTGTCACTTCATCCCAGATTATGCAAGGTAATTAGTTCTTCTGCTTCATTATGCATTTAAATCCTCTACCCAGGCACCTGTGACATCTTTCAAAATGTATATGACTTATCACTATCTCAATAGAAGTCTGTTTCTTTACAGAATGTGAACCAAGGTGTTTAAATGAGCCAAGATGACAGCAATTTCAGATGAAACCTCTCTAGAGAGAAAATCTCAGGATAAGTATTCCCCAGGTACTAGTCTCAGAAGAGGCCCTTCACATGCAGCTCTCTAATGCATACTTTAGCTGCTTAGCTTTARTACTTGAAGTATTTAAAACCTGTAGCTCTGTATGAACTGGAGATGAACACAGATGTCCAAAACAGCTATCAGCTTCTGCGACATCATAGCATATTGCTGTTACAGACATATTCAGTTTTGTACTTTAGTACTCCTCACTACTATTTATAAAAATTATTGTTCTAATACACAAAGATAAGCAAAAATAAAACAAGTTAGCTGCAGCTACCTAGTCAGAAGGAAAAGAAGTGTTAAAGACRAACCAAATAAATACAAAAGCTCTAGCAGGTCAAGAAAAGGTTAGATAGAATAAGCCTGACAAGCCTCAGTTCTGATCAGGTAAACTCAATACAAAGCCGTGGCCTCTTACAAGCAAACGTGAGGCCATTTGCTGGGCTAGAGGACTAATGTGTACTTGCAGTTCGTGAATCTGAGAGGAAAAGAGAATTTAGTAGTATACATGTGAGTCATTCTGCTCTAATTAGTCTTGGAACTATAGAATGATACAGCTCACATTTGGCTTAGGTATATTTTAGATATATTCTTAGTTGCCCTGGTACTGTGTAGATTGCCTGGACTGAATCTGAGTATTGCTAGTCTGGTTTTGAGACTCATATTGTATTATTTTAGTTTAGCTTTTACAGAACTTAAATATTTTTAACAWTGTATGCCTCAGACTCTCTGTTCTTAAACATAGACCTGTTCTTAAAAATGCTATGCCACATGATATTTTACTTCCACACTGATAGCATCTACTACATCTATTGCAACAGCATCTACTAGACAGATCAATGTTGGCTCAAGTCAAATCACTCAATGCTTCAAAATAAGAACAGAATTTGCCCTGTGGTCAATTGGATGAATCTCATAGTTTGGACCTGGCCTCACAGATGAGCTCAGAACTGGACACAGTCTCCAGATGTGGCCTTACCAGAGCTGTGTATAGGGAGACGATCACCTCCCTCGACCTGCTGGAGATACTCTTCTTAATGCAGCCCAGGATCCCCCTGGCCTTTTTGGCCACCAGGGCACACTGCTGCCTCATGGTCAGTTTGTCATCTACCAGGACGCCCAGSTCCCTCTCCGCAGGGCTGCTCTCCAGCAGGTCAACCCCTAATCTGTACTGGTGTCTGGGGTTATTCCTC